TCTATTGGCTTTTACCTTGGTCATAAATTTTTGTTTTCAAGAATACTTTTTAAAGAAAGTAGATTTTTGAGGCCTCAGAATAGTGTTCTATTCTTTAAAGTAGCATTCTATTCTTTTCTCTCAGAAATAGTATTCTATTTCTATTTTTTCATCCTAATAGCAAAAAAGACAGTTGATCCTTAAGGATATGTTGTCTTGTAATCTTTTTAGTAGCTTATGTGTCTTTTTATCTAATGGCAAGTGGAAGTGTGATAGGAATGACCTGTGTTGTAAGACTCTGGAAAACAATCTCAAGGTAGGCTAAAATTGGAGGATCCTAAATATTTTTATCTGAATGACAAAGAGTATGATACAGTATTTCAGTTCTAGGATGCACATACTTCACAACCTAACATCTCTGAATTTAGCATGTATCTTTTAAAAATTAGTTTTGAGGTATAATTCACATACCATAAAAGTCATCCCTTTGAAGTGTAAAATTTAGTTGCTTTTAGTATATTCAGAGTTGTGAAGCCATTGCCGTTACTGAATGCATTTGTATGCCCAGTGCACAGTGAGGCCAAACTGAAATGTTGGTGTTTGGAGGAGAAGGAAGTTTATTGCAGGGCCGAGCAAGGAAAGTGAGAGGCTTATGTTCAAAAAACCCTAACTCCCGTATGGTTTTTGAGTTTTTACAAGCAGAATTTGGGGTGACGGCTACAGGATGTGTGACTTTCTTCTGATTGGTTGGTGGTGAGGTCACAGGGTGTTCCAGGACTCTTGTGCTCAACTTGAAGTTACCAGCCTCCACCCAGGTGGGGCCCTTGGTTCCTGCAGAACTTCAAGATAATATTGTTACATACATCCTTGAGGAGAAACCTAGATCCTGCCCCACGACTGCACTATTGTTTCTTGATTGCTCCTTTGTTTCTGCATTCCCTCTCTTCCCTGCTTAGCAACTGTTTGAATCTGCCTTTGGGAACCCAGGGAAGGTCTTAGGAGGCTGAATGACGCCTATTTCCTACAAACAAGAGAACGGGACACAGAAAGGATTTGTCCCTGGGAGGGCCAGGCGGGATCCTGCTCCATTTCACAGACCTCTTTGGTACATACTTAGTGAAAATGCTGGGTCACACGGTAACTGTATATTTTACCTTTTGAGGAACTGTAAACTGATTGTTCCAAAGTGGTTGCGCCATTTTACAATTCCACCAACACTGTATGAGGGTTCCAGTTTTTCAGCATATTGGCAACACTTATTACTGTCTTTGATTTTAGCCATCACAGTGGGTAAAAAGCGCTATATCATTGGTTTTAACTTGAACTTCTCTGATGCCTAATGGGGACTCTTTCTGTGCTTACTGGTCATTTGTGTATCTTCTTTGAAAAAGTATCCAAGTCTTCTGACCATTTTTTAACTGGCTTATCTGTCCTTTTCTCAATGAGTTATGAGTTCTCTACATATTCTGGATACAATTACCTTATTAGATATACGATTTCTAAGTATCTTCCCTTCTGTGGGTTGTCTTTTTACTTTCTTGATAGCATCCTTTGAGACACAAAACATTTTAATTCTTAAGTCCACTTTACCTTTTTCTTTTGTTGCTTGTGTTTTTTGGTGTATAAGAAATCACTGACTAAGTTCACAGAGGTTTACTCTGTTCTATACTTTTAGCTCTCTGATCCGTTTTGAGTATACTGTGTGACTTCATTATTCTGCATGTGGATACCTGGTTATTCTAGCTCCATTTGGTAGTAAACACTTCTTTCCCCACTGAATAGTCCTGCCACCTTTTTAAAAGGGGATGTATCTCACAATTCTAAGTGGCTATGTTCTTCTATAGTAACGCATCTTGGAATTCATGGCATGATAGATTTGCTAAAGTATTAGAACAGTTAACTGTGAAATAAAAGCCAATATAAATGTGCACTTTTTGGTGGGGAGAACAAAAAAATCAGTTTGCCTCAACAATACTAAGACTCTTAAATATCAATGTGATGAGAAATATATTGTCAAATACCCTTTCTTATGAAAGACATACTAGTTTAAGGCTGGGAGGCTTACATATAATGCTCATATTGTTAAAAGTAAATGAAGATTGTCACCAAGGTAGCAATATAACTATAATGATAATGAAGAAAACCCATTAATTCTACAAACCAGGTTAAATTCTCCTGGAAGTTAGATTTATTTGACAGTGGTGTAGTGTCACAAGAAATATAAACGCCAATGGAATTTTTTAAATAAAAAAACTTAAGATTTTCAGAATCCAGATTTAAATATGTATTGTGCAGAATATAAAACAATGATCAGCACAACTGTTTGGGATCAACTTGGAAGTTTGAAAAATCAAGTCTACTTTTGTATCAGCTTCCTGCTGAACGTTCTGAGGAACCCAGGGACAGCCACAGAGTCTGAAGACACTGACTCACAAACATACTAAGATCTGTTTAATAGTTTTTGAAGATTTTCCCTGTAAAATGGCTTGTATTTCCACAGATACAATAGTGAAGAAATAAACTTTTCAATTTGACATGAAATATAAAAGAACAGTTTTACAAATATACCCATAAAATTTAACTGCTCATAACACTATACATGGTGACTATGACCACCCTCTTAGCTTCTAGACTACTTAATACAGAGAAACAATCTGTCATCTTAGCTGAAAAAACAACTTCCCTTTCATCGAGTTCAGTTTTGTTTGTTTAGGAACAGTTAAGTAGGATGGGAAAAGTGTTTGCTTTTCCTTACCTTCTAGGGAAACTTCATGAGGGTGAAAACTTATTTGAGAGGGATATGAGATTTACTAAACACAAATACTGAAACTTGTTTTACTGCTTCAATGATGCTTACATTCTTTTACAAAGATCCTGGCATCGTCTCACTGGCCTCTGACTGGTCATAAAGAGGAGATAACAGAGCTGTGCTCTACTTGCAGCGCTGGAGGAGGAACTTCATACCCTCAGCCCACCAAGCTAAACTGCGGGGCTGTGAGATTTACAGCCAAGGGAACAGAGCTGGCTCGAGCTTAAAATCAAGGTTCTGTGGTTTGTCTATCACAAATTCCACTCTTACAAGGCAGGACTGCATGAAGAGAACTAGTTTCTTAGCCAGCATTAACAACGTTGTGATCGTATATTCTTTCATGCAAATCCAACAAGCATAATGGCTTTAAAAAGATAAATTAATCAAAATGATCTGTGGGTAGGTCACAGTTCTGTAACCTGTGTTACACGTGAGGAGGAGAAAACATGCTCCTTTTTAAACTCCCCAAAAGTGCCCAAATAACATGGAGCTCTCAAACGACAGGGGTTTGAAATTTTTTTATGTAAGCGAAAATAAAGCATTGAAGTTTTATGAAGAAAAAAGTTTTCAACTTTGCTACTATAATAGATGTAATAACTTAAAATAATTTCCCTATTGATGCTGGAAATAAATTCTACTACAATCATGTGTATGCCAGTTCCTGGCATATTTCTGCATCCAGATTCATTAGTCTCCTTAATGGAGTCCATCATTTTTCCAATGGCTTTCTCCTTTCTTTAAACCCTAACCCTGAAATTCTATAACCAGTTATATCACGTGGCTTCCCTGAGGCACAAAGGTACCAAACTCTATAATTAACTATTGAGGAATGATAAATATGCTCTCTACTTATATTAAAAGATTTTAATTCTTTTGGGCTACAGCAGGAAGGGAAAAAAAAAAAACCCAGAAAGCTTAATACTTACTCTGCAGTGTGAACTGTAGCCCTTTTTGCAAAAAGCGAAACCAAATAAGGGAATGTTGAGTTGCAGCATGCATGGCCTGGCAGCACCGATTAGTGATAATAAAAAAAATTCCAGACTAGAAAAATATTCAGAGTTGTATCCCATTCACTCTGAATTTTTTTTTTTTTAAATAGCAAACGGACATAAACAACTTGAAAAAAAAAAACAACCTGTGGGAATACATCACTGGGGCTTTTCTGGAAACTTATTCACAAAAGGCATTTCAGTCAGGCCAAGATCAGGATGACTGGTCTGCCATTTCCTGTGTTTACACCTGGGGAGTGGGACTGCCCTTGAAGACGTAAGAACGGGTGTGACCTCTAAGAAGTTACCTTTCCTGAGCTGTATTACTCTGCTCTGGTGAGCTGCAGTTCTTTATTCTCACAAACGAAATGGCTCTCAACTCTGGAAAAATCTCATTAGTCCAATAGGAAGATCTTACTGGAAGTGGCCAAGATGAGCCTGGCTTCCTTCTGCAGCCTCGGGAGGGGCCTCACCTGGAAGTCAGAGGAAAAGGTGTGGCGCTAACAGAGGGCAGGGCACGGTTACCTGTTTCCAGAGCTTGGAATTTAGTACCCAAGTTCACTAAACGTCAAACTTTTCAGGTTGGAAGGTGACTTTATTTGGGGGCGTATGTTGCACGTAGAGCTACTAGATCTTGAACTACTATAGTCCTTGAAATGGGAAATTTATATCAGATGGTAACTTTCTGGAGAAAAAAAGTTTCTGATAGGTAAAATCCAGCCTTTCTAGATGCAAGACTGTTTATTTACAAGATGCTTTTAGGGTATCAAGACTCCTCAAACCTTACCTTCAAGCCATAGAGCAAGAAGAGGGACCACGTGCTCTCTCCATCATTTTGTGGAGCAGCACAGACTGAAAAGACACTGTCCATGAAGGCTGATCACTGGAGACCGGCTACATCAAAAAGCGTTTGATATATTCTAGGCAAATTCATTGTTTTCTTTGCAGGTCGCGCAAGCTATACAGAATAGAGTAAGCTATCAATAAGAGGACTGCTGTTGGATTTCTCACATCACTTAAAAATTCGCAAAACAAAATGCCTCTTCATAAACAGTAATCTCCACTGAAAAGTAAAGCTATTTGAAAGCTGAACTTTTTATATATTAAGTCAACTTAAGCAGCAGCAATGAAGACTGATAGGTATTGTCACGTTATGGAACAGAACTTTCAAAATGGATTAGAACAATTGAAAACAGGCAAAATATTTGCATAGGCAAACCATGGAAAAACAAAATAGGAATACAGTGTATTAGGATCATACAAATCACACATCTTTACAAAGGTTAAAAAATGGAGCACAAATCTGCAACGGTCAATTTAAAAGCATGTTAATTTAAATAAATACCCTCTCCATGTGGCAGGAATTGATTTCATCCCAGCCAGCTCTGGTGGTCACATGTCCTAAAGGATTGTTACATCCTGGGAACAGTGATACACCGGTACCCAGCAGAGAATGAACACCCAAGAGTTATTGAGTTATTACTCAAAATGAAATGCAACTAACAGGGAGGGATGGTGGTGCTCATATGAAATTCTGATTTAATAATTCCTCAGTAAACACTCATTTGCTCTCTTGAAATCAGGAATTTCAAATGATCTCTGCAGATGTACCACTTGGTGTTGTGTATATCTAATGATCACATTTAAATTTAGTTTGATTTGCAAACATTTTCAAAACTCACAGGGCTCCGTAAGCTGCAAGGGAAGGTGACAGATGGCAGAAAGGGAGTGAACAAAAGTGGCTGTATCGTGATTTGCTGCTTTTAGGCTCACAGAATTTTGGCTTTCTTAAGGAAGAAAAAAGAAAACTTAGGAAATCCCAACAAGTGGTTTTAAAAAGTAAACTCTTATTTTTAATCACTCTTAAATAATTCAGTAAGCAAATAAGCTTCATATTATCTTACCTGGGCCGGGTTTACTGCTGCAATAATCACCCTCAGTTAATGGTTTTTTAAGAGTTACCACATTTTAATCAACCAAACAGTTCTGGCCATACAAGATGAGTCTTGGGGACAGACCATACTAGACCAAAATAACAAAAGGCAGACTACAAAGTTACGGAAAATTCTTCATTTGAAATGCCAAGGTATTTGATGAATGTCTGTATAACGTAATTGAATCCCACTGAAGTTTAAAAAAAACCCCATGATAACATATGGATATTCCCTTCCCTCAAAAGAAAAATTAGAAAAAAGCCCCAGATTCAAAACAGACACCTGTGCCTAAGGTCTCCTGTCCCCCAACAACATCTTATAGAGCCACGCCTTTGGTATCTGGTCAGAGTCTAACCTGTATCAAGTGTTTTCCAGGCACGGCAAGTCTCACACCTATGCCACGCAGCACTGAAGGTCGCAATTAAAAGCCAACAACTTTTGAATAAATTTCTTCTACGTTTGTAAGATAGGATTTAAAGTCCTGTCCAAGTTTAACTAGGAAAACCTGTTTAAAAAACCCAAGGTTAAAATTAAAGCATGGCATTTTAAATCCAAATGTTACAAAGGTATCATGGTTTTAATCAAGCAGACTTCAGTGACGATGCTGCTGTTCTGAGCATGCAACACACCACCGTTCTCCAACTCCTGGCATGTCTCATCACTGTGCCCCTTTTTTCTCCCAGCCTCAGGACACCCCCTCCCCTTAATAAATGGCATTATAAAAAAGGTAAAATCTAGAGTTAGTGGCAAAATCTTCACAGTAACTTGTTAATAAAGTCGCAGATGGCTGTTGAGGTTATCAGTCAACGGGACCCTGGAAAATTAATTTGATGCAGTTTTGCTCCCCAACCAGCTGTGTGGCGCAGAAAGGGCAGGCGGCATGAAATGCGTGCGTTCCGTGAGGCAGCGGGATCTGAGACCAATATTTGGCAGACTTCTCTGAGCACACGTGTCCACAAGGGGTGAAAGCGTGAGTGGGCGGCCCCGCGTCCACATAAAAGCCTGCTTCGCAGCCCAGCCAGAGCGGCACGTAGGGGCCCACAGTCCTGCACATGGGACACTCCCGCTCATTGGCCTCCGTGTCGCTCCGATGGCCCCAGTCGTGGTAGCCGTGCACGTGGCCGCAGCTGAGGTAGGCCCAGGGCTGTTTCTCCTCCACCACCTCCTTCCTGTTGATGCTGGGGAAGGCCAAGGTGTTGAGCCCCACCGGACACTGTGGCCGCGCGGCGTTGATCTCTTGTCGGAGGGCCTCGATGTGCTTCTGCGTTGGGGTGTGAAAGAGGCCGTCGGCCGTTCTCCAGAGGAGTGTGGCCCCGCACAGGTCGATGAGGGAGCCGTCCTGCAGGACGTTGGTCTCACTTTCCACCTATGGCAAGTTGGACAGGCCTTTGAACAGCAAAATTCGGCCAATCACGCTAACATCACTTCCTCTCAAAATAACCAAAGATCACTGTTAGGGAAATAAACAGGGGCACAGTTTATCCCACTGCCTCCCTGAAAGACAGGACTAGGGGGTGGGTACCTGAGCCTCCCTTTCCTCAGCTGAACACTGGGTAGAAATCATAGATGCTATACACACACAAAGCCCTAAGCACAGACATCTACTTTACAAGTTCAGTTGATACAGTGGTTATTCTAACGAACTTCACAAATCTCCTATTCCCTGCCCCTCGGCCACACCAAGCACCTCCTGGTCTCCCCTTCCGTCAGGTGTCCAGAGGCTCCCTTCCCTTCCTGACCACAGGTGGTCCTTAGAGGAGGTCTCATCCCCACAGGTAGCTATGTCTAAAGAAGAATTCTGGTGTGGGAAGAAACTGGAGTTTGGTGGTGGCCACACTGTTGAACAATCTTTTTATCTTTCCTATAGGGTAGTTCTCGGTAGACAGTGTCTTATCCTAATGATTTGTTGCCTCACCTTTGACCTTTTCCAGACTTCACAATCCAAGGGCAGAGCTTTGGGCATCCTGTTCACTGCCAGATTCCCAGCTCCTAGCTCCTGCTTAGTCATGGCAACCAATTATGGACTGTTCTGTGTACAACATGCTCCAGTCCTGACTTAGTTCTTACAATAGTCCCAGAGGATACGGACTAGCATTATTAGTTATGGGTGTGAAGCCAGGCACAGAGAGGTCAGTTCTCCCACAGAGCTGGTAAGCGGTGGACCAGGACCTGGGCCGGGCTTGACTTCAGCACCATTAATACATACCGGCTGTTCAAACAGTAGCTCTAACCCGTTTTCCCTCTTACTGTCATTTCTATGTGCTTCTCTATCTGGGAGCAAAAGATGTAAACCAGAGTTGACAAGAAATTCATCCTGTGATGTGCCCTCCTGGACAGACCTGCCTGGACTGTATGTTTTCTCCCTGCCCACGGAGGCAATGCTCTGGTGATGGCGAGAGCCAGGCGTGACTCCCGACAAGATGGTACCACGTTCAGAGCCTCAGACAGGAGCACGTGAGTTGCAATCCCACCTGCAGCTGCTTTCTGATTCTGTGACTGGACATATTCAACGTCTCCGTGCCATACCTTCCTCATCCACAAAATGGGGAAAATTCCACTTCCCCGATGAGGCTGCTGTGCAGATTAAATGAGCTAATGTCTCTAAATGTGAATACAGCACCTGCGCCCAGCAAACGTATGTTGACGTTTTACTGTTACAGAGATCAGTTACGAGGGTGCCCAACCTAGGTCGGTTTTGTGGAAAAATTACCCTATGATCAAAAACAAAAAGTTATTCTCTTCCCTATTTACAATCTCTTGAAAACTGTTTAACAAAACGTATTGAATTTGCTTGGCTTTTCTTAGAAAATACGTCTCATATTGACTCAGCCCTGATGCTTCAAGACTGGGCTTTATCATAAAATGCAGAGGCTGTGCCTGGAGCTGAACGACGGTGTCAACTAGACATAAAAATAACAATTCCCTAAGAGCAAACGTCCAGCAGAGAAGAGCAAACCAGGTTAGTAAAACAGTTCCCCGTCTTCCTTTTCCAGCTGAGAAATTCCTGGTTATCATCCTCTCCGAAAAACACTAGCCCACATCCTCTATTCCTTATATTTTTTTCTATGATGGTTTGGGAAAAAAAAATTGTTCTCGCTTGTTCTAGCTTCTACCTAACAATTAATTAAAAGTACTGGAGTGGAAATTTTATTAGGAACCTTTTAGTGCTGTGCCCCACAGCTACAGCAAGATCAGAAGCCAAAGCTTCCCATTTAAGGTATTGTAATTATTGTCCTTAGAAGAAAGGGTTAAAAACCCAACAGCTTTAGGGCATTTGGGAGAAGCAGTAATGTTTATAGGAAAAATATTAACATGGCAGGTCCAATGTACTGTATGAACTATTTCAAGTAAAAAGCTGTAACTATGGTGAATTACACAGGGGATTATGAATTAATTTCTAACTATGATCTCAAGAAAGAAAAAAAAGCTAACTTAATTATCTTTTAGTTCCAGAAAGTCTAGTAAATAATTCTGTAATTCATAATTTTCACTAATTAGAAAAATCCTAAGCAATCCAAGACTAAATCAGTAAAGTTTTACACTAAAAATAAGATTAATTCTTCCTAAAGTGAACTTCAGCAGAATTCTGTGGAGTATATAATAAGATCATGCACTTAAGGTAGTTAGGAGCAAAAGACTAAGCTTTTCCCGTAGTGGAAGAAAATAACCATGACAGGAAATAAGCCCCTTTCCCTCTCAGAGAACTCCCATTCTCAGCAGCCCCTGGACCAGTCGGTGCAAAGGTTCTGAATTTCAGGGGAGGAAAATGACAGTTAGCTTTTTGTAGTTTCGTGAATTTTGGAGTGAAGTCCACTCACCAGCTTTCCCCTCTGCTGCGCAGACCTGGTCTCTCGCAAGGTGTACACGTCCCCACAGACGGAGATCTCGCGCCAGACGCCGGGCTGGGACTCCTCCGTGAAGCCCCCTCTGGGATGCATCACCAGGACGCCATTTGTCGTGAGCCCATCCATGTGGCCGTCGGGGTTTTTCCACTTTGCTGCCTTTTCCTGGAGAGAAAAATCGTGCAAGGTTATTATGTTCAATATGAAGGGATTCTGGAATCTCTTTAAAATATTGGGTAGGGGCAGAGAAGAGGCAAGTGAGGAATCTTCATTTCCTACTTAAAGCTAATAATATCAGAAGGGTAAAATATGCAATGAGTCTGACAGAATGAAAGAAGGGCAAAAATGGGTAAGTGATTTATTGCTGGATATATATATTTATCTCGGGTGCTTAAAAAACAAAACCTGAGGCCTGGGCCTCTCGCTCAGAGGTTCTTTTCTTAACCCCCACCCTGCCCCAGGTGCTTTCAGGAGTCTAGTATGTATGCTTCACTTCTGTCTGTGCAGGGCTTTCATCCTATTATCTAAAAATGCTTTATGTGAACTCATCAGGGAAGTACTAGTAGGAAGAGGAAAAAAATTTTCTTAATATATTTGGAAATTTTATATGTTTAAGCCAACAAGTTGTGGCCACGGTTTTGTTTTCATACGAATCAGTGTTTGTATCATCAAGGGTGGAGGGCACAAGCAGCAGGACGTGATGGCAGGAAAGAGTCTCTCGGATGCCGGGCCACAGAGATTCTTTCCTGGGGACAGAGCCAGATATTGTTCCCATGACTCAGGGGTAAATCTGATTAGGATAAGCCAGTGATGAGCATCCTAGACCCCTTGCCAATGACTGGTTTAGGGGTGGGCATGGGACTGAGTTCTGGCCAGTGAGCCCTGAGCGAGGCTTCGGGGAGGCTTCATGGAAAGGGTCTTTGCTCTGCTCTTTAAAAGGAGAATAAACTGCCTTTACTGCCTCCTTTTCAGCTGAAGTGGTCACGCTACACGCAGGAACCAGCTCACCCACATCAAGACCTCGTCCGAGGCAGGTGATGTGCCCAGAAGCGGAGGGCAAGACAGAGTGAACCTGGCTTCCTAGATGTCGTGAACCACCGCACCAGCCACCCTGCTGCTGGCCTTCCTTGGCACTTCCTGTAACACGGGATGGTATGTTTTTATTACCGTTCAGACCATTTTGAGTGGTGGTTTTTTTTTCCCCCTGCAAAAATATCCTGATTCAAATAGGGACTAAACTGGATATTCACTAAAACTTTGGGGTTTTATTTACATGGAAATCCTATGAAGGCAGAGACTTTTAATCTGTTTTGTTCTCTGTGATGTCACATTTATAACACCCAAAATGGAAAAGAGCAAACACTAAGTTTTTTGAACAAATGAATGAACATTTTCTTCTGAACCTCAATTATCTAGAGCTGACTGTTTTTTCCCTTCTGAAATAAACCCCCTTAAATCGACCATAAATACATTATATATGTTAATATATATACTTTTAAAAGTAATATTATACATTATAATTAATATAGCAGCCATAACAAAGAACAAGTAATGATAGATAATTCCTTTCAGATTTTAATAACAGCTTTTCAAGCTGTCCATCTGAAAACTAAAATCTCAAAATCTAGCCAGAAGTACTGTGCAGAACAAATTTTTTTGGCCACAGTTAAATGTTACATATGATAACAGGTGTTTTTCTAGAAATAACATACTTATTAATAGTACTTACTCCGAGAAATATGTTTTTGGAAGAGTCAAATCCGGCTGCAAATATTCGTGCTGTGTAAGGTTCATTCCTGTCACAGACTATCCTGCAGGCAAACCTGGATATGGTGCTTTGTGTAATTTGGGCTTCGTCATTGTTCTGACTGCCAGAAATTGTGTCTGTAACGACGAAGTCAATAGGGCTTTCTGTCGATCTGCCCACCTAAATAAACCAAATTATACTCATGATTCACTTGAAAAATATATTTTGTTCACATAAAACAAGTGTTCAGGATCCTTTTAACATTCATTATCTCCATTATGAAGGTCAGAATTTAATGGAAAAATCTTCAGTTCTGTTCCTTTCTTGTTTAAGGGAAATATTACGGTAGCCAACCATCAGATTTTAAATATTAAGAGAAAAGCTCAATTTTCTTTTCTGGAAAAAAATACATCTCATCCCAAAGAGGTGTATCTTGGATCAAGTAGAAACATTACTTACTGCTTCCACAGCAAATCACTTGTTTTGTTTTGTTTTGTTTTTTGAATTTTAGGTAGAAAAAAAGCGAGATTTTAAAGGAAGCCAGCAAACAAAAGAATGATTTCCCCCATTCTTACCCAGCACCAGGGACTGGTTTTCTCTACTAAGTGACTCCACCAGACTCACATTCACAGCACGGAACAAGGATAGCCCCAGCCCAGACAGAGCGACCCAGTGCACATGACAGTGATGTAAAAGGCTACACAAGTCAGCCCAAAGGTTTAAAAAGCTGGGCTTAACATTTCAATTTTGGATTTTTAAAAACCTCTGGGAAAGTCTAAAAAGCTGTTAATAATACTTTATTGGTTTTCTTTCCTTGGTAAGTTTAAATGCTGCCAGAAAAAATATATTTCATGAGCAGGACCTTAAAGCTCTAACAAGGCTTTTCATAGTCAATAAATCTAAATAAGATAGGTACTGCCGTGTCCTGTGGACTGGGAAATATTTGTTTGCAAATAAGGAAATCCTCAAGACAAAACATTAAAACGTCTAATCTCTAATTGGAAAACAGTGGTAAATGTTATATATACCAAAGAGACTTCTTAAATTAATGTATACATAAATTAATCATTTCTTGTTAAATATGATTTAATGTCCTAACAACAGCGACTTTGGTTCTGAAGCTGTCAGTGGAAGGAACCCACAGAGCCCCTAGATGTGTCATAAAAGGCCCGGAAACTCAATTTCCCAGGTATCTTTACCCTAATCTCAAAAGTCTATCTTAAACATAAGCAATGTAACAGTATTTTTATCCAAATGAATAAAGGTAAAATAAATATAAATATATAAATACATATATATCTTGTATTGTTTAGGTCTGCGTGCTTCCTGGAACAGTATTACTAAATTTCTTTTGTAAATCTCACATACACATTCCACACATAGATTAGTTCTGTTAAACCAACAGACATCTATTTTCTCTTATTATTTTTTACAATCCTTAAGTTTTTGTCCTTATGAAATGTACCTGGAGTAAACTAAACCACTGAGTTCAGTGAAACTTACCACCTTGAATAGTTGCGTATTGCCTGAACATATATGCATTTCAGGTTTAGAAAACTTGTTAAAAATGCAACATAAAATCTAAATTAGAGATATTATAAAATCATACCATGCGGTTCATCTTTCTAAAGTCGCAGAATCTTCCCTCTGCTAGATTCATTTAAAAGCTGGGCGTGTAGCTCAGAAGCTGAACTGAGTTGGACTGCTCTAATACTTTTTTAAGCCTTTTTTTTAAAGCTACTCTTTCAGCTACTTTCAAGTATATGCTACAGTATTATTAACTACAGTCACCATGCTGGGCGTTGCAACCCCAGAACTCATTTGTCTTACAGCTGGACGTTTGTACTGTTTGAGCAACAGCTCCCCATTCCCCTTGCCCCTGGCAACTACCATTCTAGTCTCTGTTTTCATGATCCTGAATTTTCTTTTAAAAGATTCTACATGTAAGTGAGATTACACAGCATATGTCTTTCTCTGTTTGACTTATTTCACTTTAAAACATTTTTTTCAATTATAAAGTAACAAATACACTGCAAAATATTCCACAAATACAGGAAAACATACAAGAGACTCCAAACTCAGGACCAAATCTGTCCCGAACCTCTATTCCAATGAAGCTCAGTAGTAAAATGTGAAAAGTTCTAAAGTTGCCCAGTCACCACACAAAGCCCAGTGCTCCCACAAAGACACAATCTCTGATCTAATTTCTGTCACCTCCGTGGAAGAGAGCAAAGACTTTTCAAGTTCTGTAAAAACCTCAAAGCGAAAACCACGCTCCAGTAGAATGCCACACAACTGCTCCTTGTCTACAGGGATTACTCTCTTCAAGAAAGGCCATTTTGATTGCATACAAATGTATTAAATTAATGCCGTGATGCATTAACTGAAACTGCCTGTAAAACATGGCATTTTATTCCAACTGGAACATACTGTTAGGATCAATTGTGTCAAGTCATGATACTTACCTGACTGGTCATATATTTGTTTATCAATTCACTTCCACTTAATCTAACCTGTAGAGTACTGGTATATTTCTGAACTTCAGGACACGAAGCTCATGCTGCTTTTGCCAAAGAGAAGCAACTTTCCTGAAGGAAAAACACCTGATGTGGAAGACTCATCGAGTCTGTCCTTTCTTTTGACTATTGGATCAACTCTGCGTTATTTTAAGGACAGTCATGTAAACCATCCAGATTTATCTGAATTTCATCTGATGCTCATATGGTGCTGATAGTCACACAGTAGCCATAGGGAGAATTCTGCTCCCTGCTACTGATGGATATGCACACGTACAGCATCATTCGGCACTTTCAACTGGGCACATACATGAGACAAGTTCGGGATTACCTGGTTGTCAAAGTCAGCACAGGTAACATGGCACAGAAGCATCTGGAAGGGCCTCTGTCACCTTTCCTGGACCAATCCTGCCCATATCCCCGCATCTGTTACTTTACCTTCTGACTTCCCTCCTATAACAAGGACGAAACACTGCTGCTCCACGCAGGCCCAGTCTCCCTTCGGGTGCTTGAGGTCTCAACCCTGCCCCCTTCCCAAGGAGTGTGCTCCTGATACTGGCCCCCCTCTCTCCTGAATCATCAATTTCTCTCCATCCTGGATCATGTCATCGGCTATCAAACATCCTGGAGCTTCTCAAATTCTGTGCAGGGTGAAGGACCAGTTTTTTGGTTTGTTCTGTAAACTTCAACTTGTCATTAATATCTTTTAAAAATATAATAAAAAAAGTATTAGAAAAATCATCTGCTCGGATGTTTCAGGAATGCCAAACTGCCACGCAAGCTTCCAAGTGCCTTCTTCTCAAGTTCCATACTCATCTCATCTTGCACTGGGAACAGACACTTTACTCCTCTGCTGGGCAGTTTGAACAGCACTGTTGTAGATGAGTCTCTCAGCTTTGAAAGTGTCTTTCTTTACCTGAAGGCAACCCTCAAATTATAGCCCCATTTCTGATTCATTTAGTGGCAATACTGCTTGAAAAACCTGTCACTAGTTACCACCCCGCTTCCCTACTCCGTCCCCTTAACCTCTCCTAACCCACTCGACACAGCCGCTCTCAGCAGAGCTCTCCTGGACCCACTCTTGCTGAGGTCCTCAGGGCTTATCAACCCGCATATCCTGGCACCTCTGCACCTGGCATTGAAATAATGGAACACTTCCCAGCTAGACGGTAACCAGCCCCCCTCCCTTCTCTTGCTGTTCTCTCCCTAGAGAATCTCATCAAATCCCACTTACTAGCCCCCAAGCCCTGATCTCTCCCTCAGCTTCAGACCAACACACCCAATCCCCACGTGGGTGTCTTACCAGACATCCATCCATACTTAGTAGCATCTCAAATGTAACATGTCTCAGAACCTGGATCCTTCTTCACCTCCTAGGTTCCCTATGTCAGTGACTGGCATCGTTTGAGCTAAAAATCAATACCCAAGAATCATCCTCGATTCTTTACTTTTTTCCACACCATGTTGAACCTGGCGTAAATTCTATCAACTCTACCTTCAAAACACATCTTCAGTCCGTCCACGTTTCCCCCCCTTAGTTCCGGTTACCATCAGCTCCTGCTTGGATTGCATTGCCTTGGCCTCCAAACTGGTCTCACTGATTCCACACTTGCTCCTATGTTATCCTCTAGACTGCAGTTGGAGATGTAACAAAATATAAATTGGATTATCTCTCTCCCTTGCTTAAAATCCTCCAATAGTATCCCCAAGACTCCTAGAATAAAACTCAAATTCTTTACTTGGCCTAAAGGCCCCTTACTGTCCTGGCCTCTGCCGGACTCTCAGTTCATCTTGTTTCACGTCCCTCCTCCTGCGCTCTGCTCCCGCCTCGGGGCCTTGGCACTCCTGTGATGCTTGCCTATTATATGTGGTGTCCTTGCCTCCTCTAGAACGTAGGCTCTGTGAAAGGAGAGCCCTAGCTGTCTGCCTCCAGTAAATAGGTGAGTATCTGACACAGAGTAGGTGCTTAAGAAATGAAATTGATGAATTGAGGATTATGACAGTGAGCTTGAATCCTGGTAGCTACACACACATACACACAGCACAATGTGTTAATAACTATTGAAAAAAATCTAGACAGTCTACATTTTTCTCAACTAAGTAGATGGTAATTAAATGTTCTAAAATGGCTATAAACCAACCAACCAAAAAAAAAAAAGAAAAAACAAAACAAAACATGAGGCTTGCAGCACCTAGGTTTGAAGAATATGAAACTGAGAAAGCAGGGCGGGGAAATGACCATGTGTACTAGCTTCGAGACCTGGCCAGTTTCCTCACCCCTGTGATCAAGCTGTCTCTGGCATCGCACTTCCCCGTAGGGGCTCTGTGAGACATCTGATGCCTTTCCTAAACTCTTTTCTTTTTACATTTTACTTTCTCAATACCTATGGCTTTTTCCTTGTTCCTTTCTTTATGTACCCCTATTCTAGAAAATAATTAATTACTGAGATAGTATTCTGTTAACTCAAACTCTGTCACTCTTAATCCATCTCTTAAATTCAGATCTAGTTTTGACTTTTCTCAAATAATATTTTTCAGTTCTGAGCATATTATCTAATTCCACCATGGGAAACGCAACACAGGCCCTTTTTGGGTACATTCTGGCATCCTGCTTCTAAGCGCTCAGCTAACCCAGGAACCATGTTAATGGGTGACATCTAAAAGGAACAGCTCTCAACACCAAGGCCCACGTTCGAGAAACACGAACGCTCCCATGCTTTCTGCTCAGTGATTCTGTGTCAGGTGTAGGTTTTAGACATATCAACTTGTTCAAAGGAGGAAAACAAATTTAAAAAGCTTGATTTTTCAGGGCCTTCTGAGAGTTTACTCTGCTTCGAGTGATGTGACATTAATCCTCCAATATGTGCAGTTAATCTGCAAAAGGAATCCAATTATTTTAGTAAAAATAACAAATAGGTTATGTTTTCTTAATAAATCTATAAACTCCTGTTGAATTACCATGCCTTACTTAAAGAGGACTCAAATTTCTCAGTTATAAAATGACGAGGTTAGTTTAGTGAAAATTGGTATTTCTCAGTGTGGTCCATGAACCTCTGAGGGTCCTCGAGACCTATTTAAGGGGCCAGGACCATAAAAACCGAAATTGGCTTCATGGTATGAGGATGCCGTATGCTTTTTCCACTGTGCTGACATTTGCTCTGATGGTCATACAGCAATGATGTGCTTTAAGCAGGAATCAAAGCAGTGGCACCAAACCATACTTACGGTCATTGTATTCCTCACTGCTCTGCACTTGCAGTTTAAAAAAAAGGATGCCAATTTCACTTAAATATGCTTTCGATGAAGCAGTAAAAATTTATTAACTTTATTAAATCTTGAGTCTTTTAGTCATCTGTGTGATGAAATGGGAAGCATGCATAAAGCACTCAGAAGTTCCTGACAGTATGGAGGGTACTCAAAAATTGAAAAACACAACTACCATGTGACCCAGCAAAACTACCTCAGGGTATTTATCCAAAAGAACCGAAATCAGGATCCTGAAGCAGTATCTGCCGCATTATTCACCACAACAGCCAAGATGCCGAACAGCATGTATGAACAACAGGACGTTGTGCCAAGTGAAATAAGCCAGTCACAGAAGGACAAACACAACTATATAAGGTATCTAAAACAGCCAGACTCACAGAAACAGAGTAGAATGGTGGTTGCCAGGGGCTGAGGGGAGGGGACATGGGACATGTCATTCAACAGGTATAAAAATCAGTTACGCAGGATGAGTAAGTCCTAGAGAGCTGCTGTACAACATTGTACCTAATAGTTAAAATACTATGTTGCTCCCGTAGAAATCTGTCATGAGGACAGATCTCATGCCAAGTGTTCTTAACGCAGGAAGTTAAAAAAAAACTAACTGCTGGGAAGCTGAAAAAAATCCAGCTAAATCTGTAATTCATTCTGCCTGTGCTGAGATGAGAAGAAAGTGAACGATGTGAGTAGAAGGTGACTGCAACAGTGAAGATACACCACTTTTGTCACAACACGGCACTGAAGGCTAGTAATGAAACTACTTGTGCAGTAATTGTAAGCGGTTAAAGAAAAAGGTCCTACCGACAACTGTAAAACTTTCTCAGTTCATGTGTTAGTGCTGAGACTCTTCCATCTGTGTAAAACATTAGTAAGAATCTTATATGTTCAAGATGTGTAACATTGAAAGTATTAAAAAAGAAATTATTATAAAATTCCATAAAAATACCAACAGGGAAGTATACACAGATACTTATTTAGGAAGAGATTTTCTTTGGCAGAATGAGAAAAAATATTTAGAATGCTGGAAAATGGAATGGCATGAAGAGTAAAGTCAGTGTTAATAATTTGTCTAAATATGCTATGTCTTAACTCAAACCGGCACTTGAGTGACGACGTCTGTATCTGACTGTGACTCACCTAATCCCTCCATTTGTCTGTGTATCTAGGTACGTTTCTATCTAGAATTGCTTCATTTTGTTTTGTTAAATGGCTAACACATTCACAAGGTTCAAAAATCAAAAAGCCTTAAATACTTCTCTGGACATCACGCTGCCCAGTTCTCTTCCCCACAAAAACAACTGCTTTATTAATAATGTCTTGTTTACCCTCCTGCAGACTTTTAACGAATATAAGCATTATTTGAATCACTGAACTATACTAATTTAACATATAATAAAACTATGCGAATTTAACATATAATAACATATAAAAACATATTAAATATAACTATTTAATGTTTAATAACATTATTTAGTTTATTAACATTAAGTAAACTTAACTGAATATAATGCTGTCAATGGCTCAATATACTTGATCATATTAATTTTAATTCATTAAATATGTTTGGAGCTCTGTTCCTGACTGTCCACAGAACTTTCTCTTGTTTCACTGTACAGTCTTGGAGGCCTCCACTGTGTGGCTGTACCTGAGTCTGCTTAACCAGTTCTCTCCTGAAGGACATTTAGGTTGTTTGCAATCTTTTGCTACTGAACCATGCTTCAAGCAATAACTTCGTAAAAATGTCATTGTGCATGTCTGTAGGGGTCTCTCTGAGCAAAGTCTCTATGAAGAGAAAAGCTTTAGAAAGAAAAGAGCTGAGTCAAAGAGCGTAAGCACTGTGTATTTTTTCACAGGTATTTCCAAATCACTGCCCCACAGAGGTCAGACTAGTTTATAGGAGGGAGGAGAGTCTGCCTCACCACACCTCTGACAAAACCTGTTGGATTTTTGCCAGTAAGTGAAAAATGGTATCTCTGTGGGATGTGAGTTCACATTTTTGTTCTTATAAGCAACGCAGAGCAAATTTTCTTCTTTTAAGAACTATTTATACCCCTTTTCAGATGTTAGTATCTCTGATACTTTTTTGACATTTGTTTAAACATCATTTATTTAATAAATTTAACTCTCCATGCAGAAATGCAAAGCCTCCTGGTTCAGTCTGTGTTTGCTTTTTTCCTTATTAGCCTTAATTTTAATTTTCTGTTGTTTTAAAGTACCAAATCTTGGGTATAGTATTAATTTTCTTTTTAAATTAACTGATGACTTTTTTCCTTTTATTATTTCCTTCTTTCTGCTTTCTTTTGATGTTTTTCTCGACTTTCCATTACATCCCACTAACACTCTTCCCGAGCCGCTCCTCTATTTTCTAATTGTCATTTTTTAAAAAGAGCTTTTTGAGATAAGTGTCTAGTTCTGTGAGTTTCTCCCTTCCTTTCAAATAAAAAAAAGCACTTAAGTTTTTATATTTTCTTCTAGTTCGACATCAGTCACATCTCGTGTGTTATGCTCTTCAATGTCCCCACAGTTATTTTTTAAATGCCTGTAATTGTGGTTTTGATGTCCTCTGTTCAGGTGTTATTTAGGAAATAGTTTGAACATGTTGGCTTTTAAAAGTGGCTGGCTAGAAAAAATTTTTATTCTCATTCTTAAAATCTTTTTATTGCACGGAGATCTGAAATGAAGCCTTTATAATTTCTTCATGTAATTTTAGAATTGTTTTCTTGGTCTTTCAAGAACCAAACAGGAATAATTTTTATATTATCTTCACCTCTTTCCCCTTGGACATCACCAAACATTACTATGTTAGAAGTTCTGACTACATATCAAAATAGAGAACTGAAGGAAAAACATGCTAAAAATTTCCATGAAGAAAAGAAAGCTGTTACCTGAAACATATCTGTATCTTTATCATGTGTGTACTCGACCACCACAGTCTGATTCCTCGACAGAGTGTACGATATGCTGTGTTGACCTTTGCAGCTGATAGCCTAATAATGCAATAAAAAGATAAAAACTCATTAGAACTTCATTTCAACAACTAACCACAATTCTGTTTGTAGTAAAGAGACATCACTCTACCAGCAAAACCCAACACAAGCCAGCAGTTTCTATCAGTCAGAACTTGTCCCTGCTTTATGCCCTGAATTACAGAGGAGCCAACAGTCACAATAATGGGATTACTAAATACTCACCCTTAATATGAACCGTATTTTACTTGAGTCAATTCAAAGGTAATTTACTAGTTTGCTAGGCTTGTCCTAGAAAAAAATACTTTCTCTATGTTACCTTAATTCAGTGATAGAATTTTCAGACCAATATGATTTAAAATTTCTTCATTTATTTCAAACTGAAACACGTAAGTCAATAATATTTATAGTATTTTTTTCCTATGTGATAAAGATTATAATCAGAATAAAGTAATCATTGGGAAAAAAGTAAACATTCTACAAAAAAAGTCTATATAATAAAGTACTATTTTAGCCAGTGATAATCACTATACTTTTTTCTACATCTTATTTAAATCTTGTATAAGCAGTTGCTTAACCTGGATATTTATTGAATTGTTAAGGTATCTAGGTTAGTTTTATCTTCTCTATTTTTAGACTAAAAGTACTACTCTTTTTCAAAGAACCCAGAAGCTGATAATATGATATTCCAAAATAGTACTTTATTATATAAAAGTTTTTGTAGAATACTTACTTTTTTCCCAATGATTCCTTTACTCTGATTATATTCTCTATCATGTAGGGAAAATATTATAAATGGTATTTCCACCATAATGATGTATTTGAACACATCGTAAGTTGTGGTCACATACTGTTAAATTTCCAAATTAACAAGGAAGTTTATTTAAATTATACTCCAAAGTATTTCAATTGCATTTTCTCCATTCTACTTTATCTTAAATTATCTTCACTTCCACTCTTTTACATTAAATATAATAAATAAAACTTTAATATTACTATCTAGTAAACATTTATTGAGTGATCACACCAGATGAAGCTGAAGAAAGTAGCTGGACATAATACAGCAAGTTAATGAACATGTACTCTGAATATTTACATTTGACTAGTGTAATTGCTTAGAGTAATAAATAGTACATTCCAAATCAACTTTAAAGTTTAAAGTTAATTTCATGGATATTTAACCACGTGTCCTCAGGAACTTCATGACTGAACTGATGTTCTATTATACATGCCTTAATAATAGTTTATATATTTAATGTGATTAGGAATCTTTAAAAAAATACTTCTTAGGCTACTCAACTCCAGTAACAAATATAATCTTAAATATTAAATTGGTCTGAGTGACATAAATTCAGTACAATACATCACTGGTATTGATGTGGCTTTTTTTTTTTCAAGTCAAATTAATAAAAACTATTTCCAATTTAAGCTGAGTGGATGTTTATTTATCCTTATAGTTACAGAAAAAGTCCACTTAAAAATAATTTTATTAAACTCAGACTTAACAAAACCAATAACTTATTTTAGGGATCCTTAAAAAGTATCTATTGCATTTAAAAGGTTTCCATTTACAAGTACATCAACTCAAACACAACTTTCTTGGCACACACAGCACATAAAATGAGAATGTCTGAGTCACTATGCTGTACACCAGAAACTAACACAACATTGTAAATCAATTATAATTCAATTTAAAAAAATGCCTGTAGTTTGCCAATTATATGCAAAAAAGGAGTTAATAAATGCCATAGCAGAACACCTTTAAAAGAGTTACACATTTTTGTAGGATGATACCTTCCTTAAGTAAAATGTTTCTCAAATTTCCACCAAAGTTGCCTTAGCTAGAAGAGTTACCTGAACCCCTCGAGACAAACGTCTGGGAAAGCAGCCCTGAAGTGGTGTTTCTCATGCTTTAAACAGCTTACCTTGAAATTACTATAAATTTTGTATTCTACTCCTTAACATGCTTGTAGTTTTAACATTTCAACACTTCTTCCAAGTTTCTTGGGAAATCAATGCCCCAGAAAGACTCTGTGCCCACCCCCGCCACGACCTAGCACAGCCCTGGGCCAGGGCCCCACGTACTTCCCTGCCACTCTGGGAAGCCCCGGAAATAGCCGTTTTACAGACCCCAAGCTGTTCCCGGGCCCAATTCTTATAGAGTGTTTTCTAGATCCAGACTGTTGTAAGCATGAAAAAGACTATTTATAGGGAGAGCAAGCCCAGGGCCACACCTGGGAGCACAAAGATGTAGGCCAGCCCCTGCCCAGTCACCCTAAAAGGAAGAAAGCGTGGGGACCCTAAGACCTTGAATGTCAGATCCAGGACACCTTGAGTGTTGTGCTCCTTTAAAGAAAACTTAGTTTCAAACTTCTGCCAGTTTTCAAAATGCGGTTAAACGTGGGTTACCAGGGTTAGGAAAGGTGAATGCTTTGGGAATAGGAAAACACATTTTCTGAGACTTTTTGATTAAGCAGGTCTTAACTGAGGGCTACGTTTTGGAAGCCTCTGGATTTGGGGAAGATGGAGAAGTGGGAAAACAGATTCCACAGGGAGAAACAAGTCCCAGGACGTGGTGGTGGCTCTAAGCCAGTGGGGAATGGATGCTCTGGGGGCAGGGATGGCTGAGGAACTTCAGAATCTGAGTGATCCACGTCTAGGTTGCTTCTGGCCTGGCAGTGGCTTCTGTCTGTGAACACTGAGCCGGGAGAGGAGGCCGTCCTGTAAGGAGCCCAGACAGGCTGCACCCTCAGGGAGGAGAAGCATGGAGACCAGGTGGCCCCAGAAAACTGGGATTGAAGCCAGGTCTGGGAATTGGAGCAAAAGGTGGCAGTCAAACCAGGCCACCTACGGCCGCCACCACCAGACTCCTTAGAAGTAAATGGGGGGTGTGGGAGGTGGGTACAGCTCAGTGGTAGAGCGCATGCTCAGCATGCATGAGGTCCTGGGTTCAATCCCTGGAACCTCCTTTAATAAATCAATAAAGAGATGCCCACTTCTCTGCTTCCCTCTGATGACATGAACTAGGGATCATGTGATCCTGTTTGCAAATTAAAGTCTAGAGTGGGGCCAGATTGGGGGGGGTGCGGGGAAGACAAGAGATTTTAAAGCTTGACATCCATTTTTGCTTTCTTTTTGGCAAGTATACGAGGCAGTGAGCTTTTTGGGGGTTAGAAGTATTAATTTTTTAGCAATAATTTTAATATTTAAAATACGGCTCTTGGAAATACAGCTTCTAGTAAATTACAGATTCACTGACTTGAGTCAACCGTTTCAGGTATTTTGGAAATAAACATTTCCCTAAGGCACCAAGTTGCTTTGAAATCTATTTCTGAAATATCAGAAAGGAGACTGGGTACGGCCTTCTCTTGGCACTCGCTAGAATTCAGTACAAACACAGAGACTAATGTAACATGATTTCACAACACTAACTCAGACTTGGAGACCAAGTGCTTTGAAACGGTCAGGAAAACCAGCCCAACCAGCTTGCCTGGAAGACAACACTGATTTGCCACAGCGATGAGAAGGCAGGGTTCCTGGCTCCCTCTCACAGCGCTGCCAGTGCCTCGCAGGCAGGTCTGGTCTTCCGTCTCCACCCCCAGGACCGAGGGCGTGGCAGGCAGTCCAGGAAAGTCAGAGGAGTGAATAAGCTGCTACAGATACAAAAGACTTACAGCATCTTTCCTCAGGTCCTCCCCACCTCCCCTTTCACCAGCCAAGGTACCAACAGTCACACTCTCAGTGCAAACTGACCATGTGTGGGTTCTATCGGGCTGAAAATACCACTATTGGACAATTACTGTTTAGACAATTACAACTGCAGATCCAGAGAATGAAGGATTCCAAGTTTATCCCCAGGAAGTTAAGCACTGTTCTGCAATCCCAGAGGGCCAAACCAGGCTCTGAGCAGGGATAGCTTCTTCCCCGCTGAAGATCCAGATTCTCTTAGGTTTTCTCCACTTGTGCTGCAGGCTCAGCCCAGCGGGGCCACTCCCCGCCATTCAGGCGGGACAGCTAGAACTGGATGTCCTGGTTCAGCTTCAACTAGATGACAGAGTGTCCTCCGAGCTTCCAGACCCTAAAACAAACATGGTTCACAGTGTCCACAGAATCTTCTTTCTCTTATAAACCCCATGTGTACATACATAAAGGCACTTAGAAGGATATATGCTATGTAATGACACCAGAAAGGCAATCCTACAAGATGTACAATGAGATGGATATAGGTAGTCATGGAAGCCAAAGAGTTTTAATCAATTTTTCAAAGTCTAAGGGAAAAGAATCTAATCATTTATTAAGAAGCAATGGGGTTAGTGTTCAATCACAAAGTAAAAGGGAAAAAGCCCAATGAGAAACTGGTTTCTAGAAAAATACTCATTTATGAGAGTTATGACTTAGCCCACTTAATTCAAGCTCTATTAAGGCTGCTAAGTGAGCCTTCATCACCGCATAGGGAGAGAAAGTGGAATTCACCATCATGGCAGGCACCAACGGTTAACTACCTAATGCCTTTCACCCTGCTAGCTGAGCTGGCTTCCTGTGAAAACTGGAAATGAAAATACTAGTTCTCCCAGCCTCCTCTTAAGTTAGCGCATAGGAAGGTGACCCCATGGCTAGTGAGGCTGAGGGGAAATGGGGTCTGGAGCTCCTGGCATGGGAGTCATCAAGACAAGATTCCTTCCTTTCTCTGTTAATAACAGAAATGAATGATGATGAAGTGATGTTTGGAGCAGAGGTGGCCATCAGGCAACATGAAAGGAAGGTCAAAAGACTCTCAGGGAAGCAAACTGGGCCCTGACATCTCTAAGCTGAACCAAATCTGGAATTCTCTGCCCCAGACTACTGTGAGAAGAATGCGGGCTCTTAGGCAGCGTTCGGTTGGGTATTTTGTTACCTGCAGCCTAAAGCATCGTTTGCTGCTTAGCCCAAACTTTTTCTCCTCCTGGGTCTCCTCTTTCAGTTAGTAGCACAACCACATCCCAATCACTCGTACTTAGAACCTCTGTGTCATCCCTCAGCCC